ATCATGCCAACTGTTCTCGTCTTTCTTTGCTAAGAAGCTAGCTGCTCTCTTGTTCTTGCTAATTATTTAACTTTTTACTAGCACTTTGACAAACTATATACCAGAGAAGAAAGGATATATTCAAACGCTGTTCTGTTTCCAATCTAAAATATCAATATCAGTAACAGCAAAATTGTCTAAATAAGTAACTAAACGCACTCAAGAACCTTTAAGTCTTCATAGAGATTGATGCTACTCTTGGCCTTACTCTTCGAATTTGTACCCTAGGCTGCCAAGATAGGACTCAGTGGCATAACCATGAGCAAAGATGTGCTGGCCAAAAGTATAGAAACATGCTAAAGATGACCAATAAAATGTCCCGATAAAAGTTTCACCTATCTGCACCTTTGGCTTCATCAATTGACCAATGATCATCTTTCTGATACTAGAATATCTAAATAAACAGAAGATGCTGCATTAAATGCGCACACCTAGACTGCACTCAACCTTACACTTCCTGATATATTCTATTAAGTTTCAGAATAGGTGTCATGAGATACCCAAGGGTCAGATGCTAAAAAATCCCTAAGTTGATAGAATATATTTAATCTTAGTTTTAACTTACATGCCCTGTGACATACGAACTTTCGAACTTTGGAGCATGATTTATGCACTTTTGGGAATTAATTGGGTAATTTCTAGGATTGTTCATGGGAAGTTATGGGCTTGGGAAGGGATTGGTGTCAATAGAAAAATAGCGAATTTAATTCCTTTGACCATCTTTTGAGTTATTTGGAAAAAGAGGAATGCTAGAGCCTTTGATGGCATTAACCTGAACTTCTATAAATTAAGAGATAGATGGTTTCATTATTTTGAAACTAGTTTATTAGATCATGACATTATTAGTGATGAGGATTTTGGAAATGTCATTGACTCTCTAACCACATTGTAAGCTACACAAGGGCGGTACCCCTTTTTGGTACCTTGTTAATATACACTTTACACTTTTTATTTCAACAAAAAAAATTATATGTGGAGAAAACATCAGCAGAACTGAAAATGTGTCGTCATGAAGTCGGAAAGAAAAGGAACACCTAAAAAGAGTTGAACCAATAGCAGACAAAAGTCCTACCTGAGCCACCAGCCGGGCAAGCAATGCCATTCGCATTTGGCTATAGTCTAACCTGTGAATATTCTTACACAAGCCAATAATCCTTTCAACAGCCAATTTTCTTACATTCTTTTCCTGCTCTTTGGTCAGTTTGACATATGAAGGAAGCAGAGGTAATTCCTGACAGATTTCCTCAGATGCGGGCATATTTGATATGGCATGAGAATGCTGATCATATTCTAGGAGTGAGGAATTATCACTATCAAGTTTCATTTCAACATTTGACAACTTTACTTCAGCCATATCTTCATCAACTGCTCGAAGAGGAGAAACTGGGTGATCTGAAGAAGCATTGATCTCTGCAACAGGAACCATTTCTTCAGGGGAAGACAATACCTCATCTCTGGCATCAGGTTTGTCAACTCCTGAAACCAATGGAAGCTCTGAAATACTATCATCATTTTTGAGGTTGGCAACCAAAAGTGCAGGAGCCTTCTCTACAGCTCGCACAACAGGTGGCAATGATGGCTTATTTAAGGAGAGAAAATCATCAATCTCTGATTGCACAGAGTTCGCATCCTCCATGGTAGGTATTGATGATGCTACAGCAGCAGTGCCCACACGCCGGGGATCTAGGCGCCGAGGATCCTGAAAGATCACCAGTAACTTATTCTGAAGCAAGGAAATTTGACTCCAAATTTATCACAGCTTAGAGTATATTTTTAAAAAAATATTAAATTAACAGTACACAGATTGAAAAGTAATTACTCGTCTTGGATCACGTTTAGAATCTGTAGCAAAACTACTGACAGCGGGCATATCAGACAGTGATGCACTAACTGCAGTTGATGAGGAAAGAGGGAGCTTGGCAGGGAGAACTGGAGACTGCACAGAATTTGTTGGAGATGGGGCCACAAGCTGTGCTGGACCACTCAAAGAACAAACTAAACGAGCTGGTGGCATGCTGCTCCCAAGGCGCGTTAAAGGTGGAGGGCTCTTAGGCAAGTGCTTCATGTTAGTTATCACAATATCTGCCAGCAGATCAGGATGAAGTTTTGAAATTAGAATTTCGAGAGATTCAGCCCCTCTTTCTCCTTCAGCAAGCAATGCCCCAATCATGGCAATCATTTGTTCAACAGGAGTCAAATCACCATCCAAATGAGAAACATTAGGAGGCATTCCATTAGCAGAAATAGAATCTTGCCCAGGATCACTCATTTGAACCGGTGCTGTCAAGTGTGCATTAGGACCATAGCAAGTGCGCTTAGAAGCAATCTCAAGACCATTGCTTTGGTCTTCAATATCCTGAGGCACAGATCTTTTCTTCAACAAATCCCCTGGAACAGGGAACTGGCTGGACAGCTGATCATCCTGAAGTATAAATTCAGTTTAACATGAAGAAATTTGTTTTCTTTCTAGAGAACTGCAGTGGAGTAGGCAAGAAGTAATTACCCGGCCTACCCGAGTTTCTCGAGATGCACGCTCATTATTCTTAATCATTTTATCTACTTGACGGATAACTTGATCAGCAGCATCCCCAGCATTCATTGCTCGCAAGGCTCTAAGCAGTTTATCTCTTGACTGTAAGTAGAAAAAAGAAATGAAAAGAAAAGAAAAAGAGACACCAAAGGTCATATCAAGAACAATACAAAGAAAGAACAGATACTTTCATATTGGATGTCTACATCCTATGAGACTTAGTTCCTTTCTTCCCCGGACTAGTTAGCATGCAATTGCCCACAAGCAGTCCCAATAAGCTACTCTTTTCTTGGTGATCCATTTTTTCAGATTTTTCTAGGTGATTCACTTTTGAGATAAAAAGATAAAATATGAAAAAATAAAGGAATTTAAGAAAATCACCATTACTGTGATGAAAAAATATTGTGGGAAAATAAGGCAAGAAAAAAAATCATATGTTAAATCATCCAAAGGAAATCAAACTGAAAAAAAAAATAGAACTAATGTGTGAAGTTTTATTTTGTCACTGTTTCCCTATCTAAGGATTCCAAACATAATGGGGTGTATAGACATCAACCCTATTTCATCATGCTATGTCAAGAACTTTACCTCTAAAATGACAGGATAAATACATCTTAGGAATCCTAGAAAGGCAGTTCTTATCGAATACTGGATACTGACACCATGATATCCCTTTACTGTCTCAAGGTTTGGATTGAAATCAAGCAAGGCCGAAAGAATAGTGTTATAGTGGACGGGCCTCTTCCTTGCTATGGCTGCAAGACTGTCAAGCAACCAAGTAAGGTGTTAGACATAAGAAACCATTAGATGCAGAAATAGGTAGAGACAGGAATCAAGCTTGAATACAAGAAGCCAGATAAATACATAAAGTTTGTCAGTAGCATAATCTCTTGTAACCAATATGGGCATGCAAAGTAGATCCGATTTGAGCATTAAAAAAATGCATCTTACGTACTCAGTTGGGTTCGTGCTTAGTAACAATGCAGATATATCAGTAAACATATCAAAAAGCTAGAATGTGCACAAATAGACCTGGAGCCCCAGAAACCGAGACCCTTTGATTAAAAAATTACTTTCTCAAACAAAAACATATAGACCTCCAATGAAGTACTTCAAAGTCAAAATAGTCCCACCAATAGCATCCCTAATAATTTAACACTCAGCTAACTAGAAAATTTATATATTTTTTTTTGGGGAATGCCTCATAACCAAGTAAATTGATGTAAAGAAGAAAAAGGAGCCAGCATTTCTCCCTTGAATGCATTCAGAAAGCAACAGGTGATACTTACGAACGATTCATATTTCTTTCAACTTTTTTTAATCTATCCAAAGAAAGGAATTTCCCTTACTTTTAGGTTTCAAACGATAACATATTGGCAACTCTTTTGACCTTTTTCCCTTTTGTCAATGATGCAACTGTGTTTCCCATATCATACTCTCACTAAACACAAACCCAATTTAGTATTTACCAAAACTATCAGCAGTACTCACAAAGGTCCAAAGAATTGGCATGATTTTTTAGCCATGAGTCCTCCCACCTAAGCATATTCAATATTCTGAATTAGACAACAAAATTAACTTGCATTCGATTAAGACTGAAGTAAAACCCCCCTTCTCATCCAGTTCCCAAAAAAACAATTGAAACTACCACTACAATGAAGCATCTTCATGATCTTTTTTCAGGGAAGTAAAAGAGAATGTCCCAGATCTGAATATTTCAAGGTGAAGAATAGCAGTTGCTTTAACTTCTTTAAACTAATAACTTTGCAGCCAACTCTTTCACCTTCTTTTTTTTTTGAAATAATACTCTTTCACCTTCAAATATAACACTAATCCTTTTTTTGAAAGAAAATATACTTCCAAATCTAATTAATTCAATCCAAAATTTATGTGAAACACCAAATAAACAGCAAAACTCCAGGATGCGCCGCCACCACAATTCCAAAGTCGCATGTACTTTACCATATAAATCCACCATCTCAATCACCTACAGCAAAACACAACTGCTGCCACCACAACTAACATTTCGGCACTCCCTTCTTGACAAACAACCATACCACTTTAAATCTAATCCGCAATTGTTGTTCTTTCAAAAAAACATACAAATCAATCGCACAATTATCACCACAACCGCTCACTCCCATCAAATGATCAGTTTTAGCATTCTTGTTCCTACTGTTATCACATCTTTACTCAAAATAGTAGCAAGAAAGAAAATAAAGTATTCAAGAACTCTAGATAAATCCCATTTTCATAGGTGATAAATTTCTAATTTAATCTGTCCTTCAATCAAATCAGATTCTTTAACTAGATAGATCACAGCTTAATGCATATGTTCTGAGAAAACTTGACAAGTACATGTGCTATTACATAGCTGCAATGAGATAATGCATGCCAATATTTTAAAAGTGATTCTCCAATTCATACTCAACTTTTTCTAATTTTATCACTGAAAGCAATGAAGAAAAACAATGGAAGAAAAACAAGAATCTAACTGGAAACAATGGGAATTCCATACAGTCGTCGAAACACCGAATTATATCACAAGTATCCTCCAGCAAAGAGCTACTTCAGAAAGTGAATGATGAAACGAGCTGTCTCTTAACCAGTTAATATTCTTCCACATTGTTATCTTTGCTCAGTATTTTTTTCCTCTTAACCAAGCTTGATATCTATTAACTGTTTCGACTTAGAAAGTACATTCAGTGAAAAGGCGCACTGGAGGCACCTCTTTTTTACAAGCATGGCACAAACTTTTGGAACAGGGTTATCGCAAGGTTATCATCTTCCACAAAAAATAAACATTCTGTTATTACATATATACAAATGAACTCATGTAAAAACCTACATGGACATATAACTGGAAAATAAGGACGCTGTTCTCTATAGAAAAAGAAAAATACTGTTACTAGCATAAACTAACCCAAGCAAGATATAAGTGAAATTTCAACATATAGAAGACAATAACAGTAGGTGAAACACCCAGGAAAAACTCAAGATGTGCAAACAAGCCTAAAAGAAAATTTTCATCTACCACAGTGCCAAGGCATGGTCTTCCAACTTTATCATTGAAGATAAAAGGTGGTGCACCACAATTATGGAATGCAAGACCTTATGTAATTCTTAGTGCAATTTAAAGTACATAGCCCAGAAAAGGCCAGCTAACCTTTGCGTCCATTGAAAAAATGGAATATGTTATTCAAAATATCAAGATTAGTATAACTGGTTTTAGTTTAAGTTGAATAAAAAACTATTAATGAATCTTCAAACATACAATAGACAGAATGGTAGACGAAACATGCAAAGTAACTGACGACAAGTATATGAGAACCTCAAAAAAGACGCAAATTCATCAAAGATATTGCTGAGGCCTTTCCTTCCAAGTTAATCAAGGACAAATATACATGCATTGCACCACAACTACAGAATACAGTATAAGCAGTACATAGCCCAATAAAGACCAGATAATTTTCATCCAATGCTAAAATGCTAAAATATATTTACAAAAACTATCAACATCAACAGTTAGAAGTTAACAAAATCAAAGATGAAAAAAAAAATCTACAGCTTACTCCAACTCTATAATTCCAGCAAATTTACCATGCAACTTCATTGAAATCCCAGTTTCAACTTATTGCAATCTTTCCTTCATGATAGTTATAGCATCCAAAATTCAAAATTCAAGACATCTACTTCTTTCAAAAAAAAATTCAAGACATCTACAACTAGTGCAGAAATCAATTTTAACATGTTCAGTGCTTATACATGTCATAAAAAAAATTTCTGTGACGCTATTTTTTAGCCACAAATTATCCGAGCAAAAGGAGCCCGATGATTCTTTAGAGAAATAAAATCTCCTAAAGTTTTTCAAACCTGAAATCCTTATCAATGATGATGGAAGTTTACATTTGCACCATCTAGACCTCCCTACCATAAAGGTAATCTAAGTAAAAGAGCCATACGTGAAGATGAGACACAAGATACATGAGTGGTTAGAAGATCAAGTATTAACAGAACAACTTCTTGGCATTGTTAACAAATACAAATACAAAAAAAAATTAAATTAAAAAAAGTGCTTTTTCTGACTAAAATCTAGCAAAAGCTTTCAAATGCCCAAACGACACGGACATTAGGAATTTCTGCACAAAAGTACACATCAACTAACAAAAGCAACATCACGAGAGTTTAAATCTTCTTCCATCACTTCATCAAGGATTGCAGTGTATTTACAACATGCACTATAATAATATCTTTCTTCCAAAATTCATGTGATGTCAGAAAAAATCTTCAAACTCAACAGGTACTTCCATTAGAATTAGGCAGCAATTTGTTCAAAATATCAAACACCATTAAATGCACTTCTGAAATAGCATGAACAGAGAGAACAAGACCTTAACCTGCTATGCACTATTACGAACACACTTCACTAACTAGTCTTAATCCACACATCGTAAAGCTTTTTCTCGATAGATATTTTTCTGTAATATATGTTATTGACTGACTTATGAAAACATTTAATCTGATAAGCTGATATGATTTCCCTTCAAGTTTCTCAAAATTCCGTCACGAGTAAGGCATATACTCTGGCATTTAAGCAAGTATTTAACCTGTTTGGAAATGTGAACCAAATTTATTTAAATTTTAAGGTTTAAGTAGTTTTTCCTCTAAGATCTCAAGATATGCACCATATAGCTCATTCAAACAGCAATCCGTGAACTTGTATGCTCCTAATCCTGACACGACACTAATATTTCCAGTGTCCTCCATAGACAATAATAAGTCAGTTGCTATCTGTCAAAGAATGCGACTGAACTCACCATCTCATCCATTGGTAACTTAAACATAACTTTAAACAACCTTCCAAATGCAAACACTCCAATATTTTTCAGAGGAATTTTCAGGTTCCCCAATTTCTGTTGAGAACATCAGAGCCTTTAGAAAAAACGATGGTAACAAGTAGGAAACAAAATTAACAGGAGATTAAAAGTGGACTGTCACTGAAAATGATGGGATTAACTACCTTTTAGATAAGTTTCATTTTTTATCTGCTTTGACTAGAAATTTTTTAAGAATTATCAACCATATAACTTCCAAAGAATTAAGTTTGTTAACCTACCATTAAGTGTCATATGAACACCAATAGCTAGGTGCCACTAACTTGTAGAGGCACTAGACCTAAGTACCAAAAAGTCAGTATCATTTTTAACCACTCTTTTTTCAGAACACTGGAATGAATTACTTTAGCGCTGAGGACCTTGGATTATATTAACACGGAAAGATCCACTCTTCTCCACAGATTGAAACGAGTTGATAAGAACGAATCATGTTAAACTAGCAACTGGTTCTGAAGGCAGAGTTGTGCCAGATTTTATAACCTAATTTCTGAAGCCAGCTATATGCAGGCTTGATTAATCACCTATCAGAGAAGCAAGAACAAGAATATAGTATCCCTTTCAAAAGTACTTGAAGAAAATATAAGCTCAAAAATTCGCCCATATAGCTTGACAAAATATCCAAGAGTAAAATATAAGCATCCAAAAAAACAAGCGTGAAAAATTTGGAACTGCAATATATGAAGCAAAGCAGATTTGGCAGGATAATGCACAGTTAAAAGTGATTTTTGATTATTAAAGGTATTTAATGTGCATCAACTGTTATAAATAATCAATACATTTTAAATAGCCGGCACATAATCAGCTGTAAATACATACAGCAGAACCAGACAACAGAAGACTACATTTCTCTAGCAGATTTCTGCTTCGCTTGACCACCAATTTCTCTCAGTATGTGATCTGATCATTTTTATCCATCGTTTACCATTCTAACTGGCAAAATGGTGCTCCACAGTACCAAAACAATGTGAGCATTGTTAGCCCTGTAAGTCCCAATATCTGAACCATCAATGCAGCAGTATCCGAGGCCATTCACTCCTCAAAGAAAGCTGGTCAGCATGCTACAATAATATCACAAAAAAGCCGTTGAACTTGTACTACAACCTGTTTCCAAGCTTCAGTTATCCCTCCAAGATTTTCAAATATAGCAAAAACTGAGGCGAAAATTAGTTTAAACTCCAGTAACAATTTTTAAGAACTTCCCCAATTGTAATATGTTCTTAACGAATGTAATCGGTAATTACTACACAATGCAATCACTCTCATGCTTGCATACAGAAGGTTAAATATCAAGTCACTCGCCACCTTCCTGAGGCAAAGAAAGCCTGTGAATTCCAAGTCAAACACTACTTATATGATGGACTCAATATCTTACAAAATATGAAAGAGTCTGCAAATAAAACTTCCAACTTTATTAGTAAGGAAGAAAAAAAGGACCACTCATCTTCCATTAAAAAGAAAGGATAATTCCTATATATCCCTGTTGAATGTAAATTTTCATAATTATGTTCCATCAACCTGGAATTGAATGTGCATTAATCTATGTTTTTACCTTCAAAACAACCAAAATACTTTTCAAACAAGAATTAAAGGAAGAAGCCACAAATTACACAAGAAACCAATTCATATAAATTATTAACATCATTTCATTTGACAAGCAAAGAATGCATGTGCAGATAGTAATTACATTTACCACACAATATCAAGTATAAATATAAAGTGCATGTGGAAAAAGATCAAGTATAAACATGTACAGCTCTGTGAATCTCTTGTGCTTACAGACTCACATGTGAATATACAAATATTGAAGATCTGTCAGTACAGATCAAGCTTTCATTCACTCCCAAACTTAAAGAAATTTTAAGAATTGGAACAAGGTTATGGAAGTTAAGGCATTAAGTTATTCTACTGTAAACGAAGGACCCCATGATACCAGCAATACCAGAGGAGAAAGATTCATGTCGACCATTGAGGAAAAGAAAAGAAAAGAAAACCCAAAGCTGAAGTAAAAATAACTACTGATTCAAGATGAATCAGTGGAAGAAATAAAAATAGAAAAAATATACAAAAACTAATATTTTAAAAGTTTAGATGCATGGTGATAATTGATTAAGGGCAACAGCACACTCACCAATTGACAACAGTAATTGTCAATGCACCCGGAAGACTACTTGATGATTGCAACAAATCGATTAAAATGCCAAGCATCCTATTTGCTTCTGCCATTAGCATAATTGGATCCAGATTGGGGTGACCACCAATTAACCAAGATATATTAAACACTCGTCTACTTCCTGTCATAGCAGGTTTGACAAATTCACAAAAATAAGTTGCAAAAGATCAACTTCTTCAAAAGACCCAGTGCAAGAGTCCAATAAATTAACCGAAGAGTTCAAACTAACTGCATGCTAAAAAAAATAATCTTAACAAAAATCACAAGTTAGGATGCATCACCTTCATTGATAAGTTTTTCAGAATTAATGGCGTCTGATGTAAAAACTAAAACAAATGTTTCCAAAAATTTCAGGGCCAGCACCTTCGTCCCAATGGACCCAGGCTACAATATCAAGTCAAAAGGATTCCAAGTTAGCAAATATTTTAAAGTTACCAAATATTTTAAATGATTTAACAGAGAGAATTTTCTTCAACATGAAACAGTTTGGTATACTTTTAATATTAACAAAAAATATCATGGAATATTAGAACAAATTTCGGCATGATTCCGAAGCATCAAGTCTACGGTATCAAGTACCTCTTATCAGCAAACCTATGTTGCAATACTCATTTGGGGCTAGATCAGTTCTGTGCAAATATTATGTTTCACAATTCGAATGTTCAATTTAATAACAAAACAATTGGAATCTTATAGATGAATCCCAACCAACCATGAACCATAAGCGAATCTTAGAAACTGATATTAAATTGTATGCTATTCCACTTTTGTAACTCACTTAGATATAGTTAAGACCAAATCTAATCAAACATTTATATAACTTATTTTTATTTAATTATAAGATATAATATTTAAACAATTTGCTTTAAAAAAATATCTTTCTTTAAATGTATATAATATTAGCATAATTTCTTAAAGTATTTTAGTTTTTGATTTTTTATTAAAAATTATACGTAATTGGTAGTAAAATTTGATTAACAAATTGTGTTCCCGATCATATGATCCAATTCGTTTGATCCGCAATTATCTGATTCAAAAAATTGAATTTTTGATTCACAGTTTGAATCTTGATTCAGTAATTATGAATTAGATCATACATATCCAGATTCCTAGCATTCAATAGCTTGGAACTAGTTTAAGATATCTGTATAATCCGTCTTTAATGATATGAAGTAGGTATTTCCCAAGCAAATAGCAAAAGAATATTCTTTAAAATGCAGCCAGATCTACTTGACATTACTCCTTTGATATTACTTCTCAACTATATAATCTGGAAAGTAAGACAACCAGCTTAACTAGGCAGTTAAGAATATGCAATTACAGCTGGAAATGACAGGAGGTTAAGCCTCTGCTGGCAGATCCAATTTGTTTCTGTTTTTTAAATGCAATAAAAATTGTTTCCTCGCGTAAAATTAATGTCTGGAACTTGCCTATGACGACAAGCGGCATAGGCACAAAAGATTTTGCAGACTTGTATGCAGCACACTGGACATTTGCAATTCAAGAAGAGGCTTCAATGACTCCCCAGATCACCCATATCAGGTTAATGAGAGTTGTCTCCAATGAATATACACAGAAACTTTCACTTGATGTGCAAAGTGTGCAGTTAACAAAGCTAGTAGTTGGAATTGGATAAAAATTATGGAGAAACAGAGCAATGTACCTCCAATGCAATGGTGAAAACAGCATCCTTGAATTTACCCATCCATGTCCATAGTTCTTCAAGCCACCGTTCAATCTTACGATTCCGGTGAAACTGTATATGACAAAGTTTACCCAAAAAGAAGAATAATTTTTAAGCTCCCCAAAATGTGAAAAGTTACAAGATCATAGGCATAAAGGGAAGTCCAACTAAATAAACCCATAGATTAAAGGTCAACAGATCACATGTCTACAAAGAAATGCTCAGCTTGCTTATAAACAACAAAACACATAAACAATTACGCATCTATAGCCATTGTTACCAAGAAAAATAAACTCTCTGCATGATCATCTCGTCAACTATATCTATTCAAGTAAACCACATATAACTATAAACGCCAGATGATGCTTAAACTTAATTAGAACTTTGTATTGGAGGTCATTCTCACGAATTTTGAACATACCATGTGTATCCTGCCTAAATATGCATTTAACTGCACAGATATTGATGAGAGAATAAAACAAGATTTAGAAAACGTAAGCCCTTGTTCAAATTTTGGATTCCACAATCAACGTAAAAAGTGAAATAAAGACCTGCAACGCCATCTCCTCCAAAACGCTGCAGAAGAAATTTGTGCCACTAACAATAGATTGCCTTGCAACAGAAGAGTCCTCGTCTCTTAAAAATTTCAGTAAGACAGGCACCAGTACTGAAGAATGCTCAATTGCTTTCAAACCAATCTCCTCAATCACCCTAGCAATCATGCGAATAAAATACAAATGAAATATGAATATACAGGCAGCAATTAGATATCAGTCCACCTATAAGACCAAATTCAACAGAGCAGACACATGTACAGCACAAAGTTTCAATCATCAGTATCTGCTTGATTCGCCCTAAAAATCATAGCAAAATTTTCAGGCTTCCTTTACATTTAGTTTAAATATATGCAACCAACAATATCTAACTTTATAAGTTGATAGCTATAAAGCAAGCAATCTATTAGCAGATTTCACCCAAAAATTAACCAACTTTAAAAATTTCCTCGCAAGAAAAAACTTTAAAAAAAAAAAAAGGACGTAAAACACTAGGGTTTTGAACTCACTCGAGGAGAAATTTCCGAACAAGACTTTCCCTAGACGATTGGAGCTCGACAAGGAAGGGAAAAAACTCGGCAGCTAAAGAAGGCCCAACAGATGACAAGATATCTTTGACTTGTTTCAACGAAGAGAGCTTCACAGCCAAATCTCCGTGGTTGTTCGCCGCCGCGAGCAGAGAGAGCGCTTGGTCCGTAGAAACTGCAGCCGCCATTGTGAAACCAAGAAATTTGGCACCTGACAGACGAGAAGCGCGGCAAGGGAGGGTTTTTGGAGGCCTGTTAGGGTTTTGTTAAAGAGTATGAGATGTGTGGGGTTTTCAGTGGAGGACGAAGCATGGAAATTGTAGGACCTGCGAGAAAACAAGCGAGAAAATTCCTGCAAAATTCAGGATTTAATATTTGCGGGAGGAGAGCTCAGCTCCAAGGAACGGCGATGGGTCTTGTAGTTTTTAAGATTGAACAATGAAGAACGAGGTTATATCACGCGCCTAAACGGTGGTTGACACGCGCTTGAGATAACTGTGTTCTATCCATCCTATTTTCCTCTTTTGGCTCGAGTCTTCTTGCCTTCATTTTCCTTTTTTTATCCACGAAGGGTTCTGTTTGGGTGAAATATAAAATACCTGATTTTTCTGAAGAACGTTTTTTTAATAAAATTTATAATTTCATCCAAAAAGTAATTTTACATTTTACATTTATAATAATTAATGTCTATGAGCTACACAGAATATTCTTTAATTAAGTATGCACAATAAAATAAGATTTGTAAATTTAACGCTGCAGACAGTTAGTTGTTAAATATAATTTCTCTAGTTATATATTTGGATAAGTAAATTTTTCTATGTGTTGCTTAAAACATTATTATTGGCTAAAATATTTAAATTTTACCTTTAATTTTATTTAAAAAAATTTAAATTATACTCTATTTTTTTTATTTAAATCAATCATAAACTTTTAAAAAATCTCTTACTGTTAGTAACAAATAACGTTGTTATAAATAAATGCAAGTGAATGATAATGTATATAAATAAAATTAATATTGATGTCACATCAATCACATGAGACATCAACGTGTACTCATTTAAACTTCTTCCTTGAGTTTTACTAGAAGTGACGAAGCTCCCATCTTCCCCTTCACGAATAAAGCTCCCATTTTCCTCGATCAGTCACCATTTACTTCATACCATAGAGCATCATTGTTAACATCTTCAACAATTATTTCATCAATCACGTGCGAGTGGAATTATCATTGTCACCGTCTATTTCGATTTCAAGGAAACTCATTTTTAAACTATCGCTATTTGTTGCTCTTGAGGAAACTTATGATGAATTTGTTGATTCCAAAAAAAATCATAAAATTATAATGTAAACGCTACATATAAGGGTCTATCAACAAATGAAAAATAGAGGCATTATTAATAAAAATAAATAAACAAAAAAATTAATATTTGATATTTCTTTACTATTCATAACAAGTGTTAAACATTGATAAACCTAATGCAAGTTTTTTTATTTATTTCATCGCAAAGTACTCGTGGATAGAATGAATAATATAATAAACTAATATAATATAAATAAGTAAGGAATATCTAGAGTTGTAGCTTTAACTTCAAATTTAGAATGAAATCAAATATGATGAATATTCAAATATGTTGATATCTTTGTCATATTCATTCTATAATTAAAATAAGATCGTGTTTTGTATCTACTCAATCAACCCCAAATTCTCAATATGAGCATTCTTTGAATAAAAATAAATTCTCATGAAATCTACTAAAATTACTCATAAAATACAAAAGAGTCATATTGTACCTTAGCCTCAATTAACTTCAACATTCTCATATTTTTTTCAATCTCTTCAACTCCTTATGGTCTTCTAATCTGCTATGTTCTCCCGCTTTCTTAGCTTTCACAAAAAGAAAAAATAATAAAGAATATTTAGCTTTGATTATCGCTCTCATTTACTCTCCTTCTTAACTTCCTCTTTTAAAATCCAAAAATTATTCAAAACTCAACTAAAAAACTCATATATAATCTCTCAAAGGATCTTCTCTATTTTGCTCCCATTTTTTCCTCATAATGCTCTTCTTTCTTTGCTTTGTTGGTCATCATTGTGTTTCTTTATGAACAATATATGGCAACAGGTTTAAAGATGGGTTCCTTCTAACCGAAGCAAATGGTGACAATAATGATTCCATTAACATGTGACTAGTAACGCAATTAGTGGTAACGCTCTCCCTTAGAAAGCAAACGGTGGTTGATCAAGGAAGACGGGAGTTTCATGAGTTTAAGGCACAAATTGGGGAAGAAGTCCATGCTTTAACATTCACGTGGATTTTTTTTTACACATCATCATCTACGTGCATTTGTTTTTAACAGTGTTAACCACTACTAACAGCAATGAAGTAATTTAGATATTTCAAAACATTCATAATTAATTTAAACTAAAAAATTATTCAAAGTGTAATTTAAATATGTTTTAAAAGTTGATTATGAAGCTAAATATTTTAGCCTATTATTACTTATCCAAAAATAATAATCAAAATAGTTTACCTGCTATAATTTCTAAATTTCTTAAATGTTATACCTTTTTCCCCCTTACAATTTATATCCTTAGCTCAATAACCTCATTTTCTAATTATGTAACTATTAGCAATTTAGTATTCTCATACTTTTAAGTATTGGTTTTCATTAGGTAGTTCAATTTTTTATTTTATATATTTAGTATTATATCCAAAGTAATTATTTATGACTAAAGTCTTATAACTAAAGTATTGTAAGTCCTCCTCACATCCTATAATTATGTAGTCAATAGATTGCAATTGCCATGTCAAAAAGAAGATGTGAAGGAATTGTTATGAATAAATTGTGGATATTCACTATGGGCAATAGTAACAATGAATGAATTATACTGATATACCATGACCAATAATACTAAGGATATAAAGGTTCATCTCAACTACTTACCTGCAACTTCTATTCAAAATGAAGTATGATCTTCGGAAGGTATTGCATGATGTCATTGTGTGATATCACATACCATGATGTATAATGGATCTACATGTACTTTGAAGATAATGCATGTGTTCGTGTCAATCACAATGAATAAATGAAATGTTATGCTATCATTGGGCCATTTTAAAAAGGAATGTGCTTATTTGTGGCCTAAGATTTTTAGTGCACCAAATGCAAATTGTTCGAGTTGTATCATTTATGTAATGCTTATATTTTTTTTTTTTTGCTGTGATTTTTCAACATGACTTTAAGTAGATGATTAGTTTAATTATAAAAGAAATTTTAAATTTTCTCTAATAAGATATCAGTGGTCTATTTAATAAATGTATATAAAACTTGCATCTCATTTTGTTATATTTCTTGATGTCAGAAAATTAGAACTAACCTTAATGTAAAAATAATAGGATAGAATGCTTATTTTTCTACCCACGAAGAACAATCCTTAATTGTTGACACTCTTGAATATTTTCTTCCATATGCTACTAGAGTTCCAGGTAATTTTCACACCCCAAAATCTAAGTCTGTTTATGTTTTAACTTAATGTGAGAGAGAATAATAGTTATTATTTTTCAGGGTGTTATCTTATTCCTTAATCAAATATAAACAATGTTTCTCTCTTATATGCTCACCAAAAGTCACATCTTTTTACAAAAAAGTTTTTTTCTTATAGGCTCACGAAGAGTTGTGTCTTTTTACAAAAGGTGTTGTGAACTTTCTTAATTTTATGCAACATCTCCCATTTGGCCACACAAGCCGCACTAACCACAATATACTACCATATCAATATATTTCTCACACTTCATACAGAAAATGGGGCATGCGACAAAAAAACAACAAGTAGTATTATATTAAATTATCATCTAACTAATACAACACTTTCATATTTATAATACCCTAGATCATTTGAATATCACCGTTAGTATACACTATCTCTCTATGTTATAATTATATTACTTAGTTATATACAAAATATAATTGTCCGAGCTTATGTGATAACGTCAGAAAGATTCTTACCTAGACCATATAGGTCACGGTCCTTGGAAACATATTAAAATAGCCACACCAAATTTTGACTTCTGATAGCTCCAAGTTAAAGGGTATCATGCAATGAGAACACAAGAGTCTACAAGTTTCACACAGCAACAAAGTAGAGAAATATTTTTCCAGTCTCTATATCAGTCGTCATATAACACATATGTTATGATATGTATGTCACAACATAGTTCCCACTAAGTTGGGCATGTCATTCTTCTATGTCGTGTGAATCATAAGTCTAGATACTAATCAAGTATCTAACTCGAGCTACTTGATCAACATATTCAATGTGTGACTTAACACTCGATATTTAGCTTAAAGGCGTTAGTACAAAGTCAGATATATTTCATACTCGACTCTTTAGAGTCTCATCTTAAACATATTAAGGTGACTATAAAATTTTAATATTTTGTCATTAATACAATACAAGTATAAAAACAGTCCATATTGTACATATTTAACATCAATATGATTTATTTTTATATTACCCACTACTTCAACATTAGGAAGATCACCCGTGTGATAAGGTTGATCATAAAACCTGATAATATTATTATGTGTCTAATCATGTAATTATGTTCATGAACATTTTATAAGAAAATAATAATTTTTATTTAATAAATGATCAATACACAAAAGGAATATGTCCATTACATATCAAATCCACCCAAAAATTAAAGTCTATGCACCACGCGATGACGCGCATTGATCCCGACATAGGCACGTGGCATTTCAATGACTCGTGTGCAGTTGCACGTAGTGACGTTAATGACTGGGACTGCGTGTCCCAAGGTAAAATATGTTCTTCCTTTTATGTACATGGGTTTCAAAATTATTTGTAAATTAATATGTATTGTCCATTATAAACGGAAAAAAATTATCCAGATGATATCCAGATTTTCAAAAAGATTATAAACCGAGCCAAAAATGATTCCTAAAGCTTTTTCAATCACACTGTAGGTAAGAATTATGTGTACTCCATATAGAGACATAAGTTATATATTTATGTAAATGTGCATACATATAATGTAATATGTGTGAATGCTTAAATATATATGCAATATAATATAAATATAATTAACATCTCTAATTTGTATTTTTGTGTGTTTATATAGAGTATATATATGCGTTGTTACACATGTATGTGTATATATATATAAATATACGATAAATAAGATATGAATTGATAAGAACAAAACTAATAAGAATATAACTAATAAAAATAAATACATGAATAATTATATATATGGTATTCTGTGTGTAATTGTATATACGTGTTTAAGTACAAATATATATGTATGTATCAGTAGAGGTTGTATGTGTGTGAATATGTATATTATATGTGAGACATGTAGTGAAGGTACATGTTTGTATTATAATATTTGTGTGTGTGTTAGTATGTGTGTACACATGTTATACATGTGAATATATAATCCGTGTGTGTGTAACATTATATGTATTTGTGTTTAATTGTGCGTAGAAATTAAAATAATTATATTCGTGTTAGATTATTTGCAAGAATTAAGA